AACAGTTAGGCCCCATTTTCACCTCACCTAGGTCAGTGGACCTGCCATTCACAGCCATTCAAATCTCACTCCAGGACTCCCAGCCAGAAATCCAGGTTGACGCTCCACGCAGTACCGAGGCAGTGTTGGATCTGCTGCCTTTCAGATGAGGTGTTAAACCAATGTTTGGTCTACTCTTGGACAAAGAAGATCCCACAATACTATTTTGGATGTGGAGGGGCATCTCCTCAATGCACTGGGCAATATGGATTTCTCATACATCAACAAAAAAATCATACAAAATATGAGTAGCAGGCTACTCGGCCCCTCAAGTGCTCTGGTCGATGAAGCAACCCAGGCTAATGTCAATCAACGCCATTAAAACAGATGATCTGCTTAGTAGCACATGGCTGCCCATGAGATCTCTCTGCGTGCAAGGTGACTGCCAAGTTTCCTACATTACAGCAGTGATCAGACTTCAAAGAGTACTTCACTGGCTGTCAAGCACTTTTAGGATGTTGCGAAGGGCACTACAGTAATTCTTCTTTGATTCCGTAAATAGTCAATTTTTGCAACCACTCAACCCAGTTAGCAAGGATGACAGATGGAAAGTGAGAAACACTTCATAGAAAGGCAGTTCTTTGAAAAAATGAAACAGATAATATGTACAAAAGTCATCAGTAACTCATGAAAAGAGGCCAGATGAGGGATAAATTTCATACTTTTGCCTTTTGCAAAGAATGGGTGAACTCATTTCAATTCCTCTACTCTCCTGAAGAAAGAAACGTGGAGATAATACTTACAAAACTCTTTGATGCCCAAACTTTGACCGAAGTTTCAGGAAATCACTGGGACATCGTTCAACCTTGATCATTGCCTTCCATTGACCTCAGACAGACCGGAACTTTTGAATTCCTCGGTGGAGTCAATCATTCAATTAAACACATTTCCCACAGAACTCAATCCAGTTGCTGCCCAAATACTCATCCAGCTAAAACAATGGAGTCCAGTGCACATACACATAAAAGAACATCAACTGATCTGGGACAACAAGGTGCAGGGCTGGATGAACACAGCAGGCCAAGCAGCATCATAGGAGCAGAGAGGCTGACGTTTCGGGCCTAGACCCCTGGTTTTGATCCTACACTGCACACTGCCCACAGAGGAACACACCAGAGTTTCCCACAAAGCTGACAAATGTACGGTCAATAACCATGCTTTATTCCAACATTGGGATATTTTAACTCATCACTGACCAAGGCTGAAGCAAATCGATTCACAACCTTGCCTACTTCAATCTCAGTACATCACCCAGACAAGCACCTGTCCTTGCCTGCCTGATACTGCACCCCTCAGTCGTGCCTTTGTTATCTCTAGACCCTCGACACCCTTCAGCAGCCACCCATTTCCCAATCCCTATGACGCTGAGCTCATCCAAAGCTTGTGCAAAGCTCCATTCACCCAGTACCCCTCTGCTCACTGTCCTACACTAACCGCCCATTTCAGCAACGCCGCCATTTTAAAATGCCCACCATTGTTTGCAAACCCCTCTGTGGCCTTTCTCTTCCCCAGCTCAGATCCCCCACTTCCCCAATTCTGTCCTTTTGGACATCCTTGATTATTGGCCATGCCTTTCTGGTATCTAGGCCCTAAACTCTGGGTTTTGTAATCCAAACGCATAAATGGTAATCTAAATTGGAAAATAATGGCAACCGGGCATAGTCAGCACCGGATTTGCAAATGGAAAATTGCGATTGACAAACCTGGGTTTTTTTTGACAATGTTAAGAACATAACTGATAAAGGGGAAATCAACTGATGTAGTATATTTGGATTTTCTGAAGCTTTTTGATAACTAACTTCCTGTGGGGGGTTTTATCAAAATTAGAGCATATGATAAGGAGGTAATGAACTAGCATGGATTAATGATTAGCTAACAGACAGTAAACACACAGTCGGAATAAATGGGTCATTCTCCCACTGGCAGACTATGACTAGTGGATTACTGGAAGGATTTGTACTTAAAGTCCCAGTCGTTCACAACAAACATCAATGATTTGGACTAGGGACCAAAGGGCTCTCTTGTGGGGCAGTGGTAGCATCCCTACCCTTGGGCTGGAAGGCCCAGTTTCAAGTCCCACCTGCTCCAGAGGTGCGTAATAACATCACTGAACAGGGTGATTAGAAAAATAAGAGTAGTGAAGTCTTGTTTCAATTATATAGCTGCTTGGTTAGACCTTGCCTGGAGAACTGTGCGCAGTTTTGATCTCCCTTATCCCAGGAAGTGTATTATTATCACAGAGAGAGTGCAACAAAGGTTCACCAGACTGTCCGAGTGAAGAGAGATTGAAGATAGAATTTCAAAGAATGAGAAACCCACAAAATATTTCAGGGATAAAGAGGAGATGCAAGCAAAGTGCATCCCTTTGCTGGGGAGTCTAGAAGTGGGGGGGAGGGGCACCATTTAAAAATAAGGGGAATACCATTTAGGACCAAGATGAGAATTTCTTTTACTCAGAGGGCTGTGAACCTTTAGAAGTCTCTCCCCCACCCCCAGAGGGCTGTGGACGCTCAGGCTTTCAGTGTGTTTAAGGCAGAAATTGATAGATATCTCATTATCAATTGCGTAAAGGGTTACAGGTATAGCTAACATGAAGCTCAGTAGTAGCAGTGCATACCATCTACAAGAAATTCACCAAGGCTGCTTAAACAGCACCTTCCAAATGCACAACCAGTACCATCTAGAAGGACAAGGGTAGCAGATACATGAGAACACCAACTCATGCAAGTTCCCTCCAAGCCACTCACCCTCCTGACTGGGAAATATATTGTCGTTCCTTCAGTATCACTGGGTTAAATCCTGGAACTCCCTCCCTAACAGCATTGCAGGTGTCCCTATCCACATGGATTGCAGTGGTTCAAGAAAGCAGCTCACCACCACGGTGTCAAGGGCACCAGGAACAGGCAATGACTGCCAGCCTAGCCAGCGAATCCCCAAAGCGAATAAAATAGATCGAGTCTGGACAGTCCAGACAGGTTGCCCCTAAACAGAGCTAGGAACAACTTTCTTGCAAGATGAGCTGCTCATGTTGTTATTAGAGAAAATTTAAACTAATCTGGCAGGGGTGTAGAAAGCACAGGTAGAAACAGACAACAATCGAATAGCAAATAGTAACACACTAGGCAGGGTCAGAATAGGAGTAAGAGGGAAGGAATAAAGTCTAAATTAGGACTATTGTGGACATTTGGGAATGTGCAGGCTGGTGAGCATCAAGTACAAACTGACATATGGGAAAACTAAACTTACAGAAGGACTTGATACTCAGAGTGCTTGAATAAAAGGTGTTCAGGAAAGATGTGAAAAGGAAAACAGGAGGGGTAGCAATACTGATTGAGGAGGATATTGCAGTGCTGGAGAGAGTGTGCCCCCCAGAGGTGTCAAGTACAGAGTCCGTTTTAGAACTAGGGAACAAGCTCTAATTATATTGCTCGGTGTAGTCTATAGGCCACAAACTAATGGGAAAAATGTAGAGGAACAAATTTGCAAGGAAATAACAGAGCATAAGAATTACAGAGGAGTTATAATGGGGGGGAACTTTAATAATCCAAATAAAAACTAAGATAACAGTAGCGTAAAGGACAGAGACAAACAAGAGTACAAAGAGTGTGCTCTGGAGAATTTTTCTACAATAGTATGTTGAGTCCAATGAGAAAGATTTAGCTGTGCCTAGATTTTGGGAAGGAGGTGTGTCAAGTGGATCTAGTGCCAGATTAGAGAAATTGGGACTATTCGCCTTGGGAACGGTTGAGAGAAGACTTGATTAAAGTGTTCAAAGCCATGAAGGGTCTGAACAAAGTACAGAGAAAGAAACTGTTCCCATTAGTTGAAGGATCAAGAACCCGAGGACACCAATTTAAGACATGAGGTGGTTAGAATCTGGAATGCACTGCCTGTAAGTGTGGTGAAGGCAGGATCAAATGAGACTTTCAAAAAGGTCTTGGATTATTGTCTGAAACAGAAGCATTTGCAGGATAAGCAGAGTGGCAAGAAGCAAACTACTCCTTCAACAGGCCAGCACAGTTGAACGACCCCTCCATGCTGTAATCATTCTGTGATTACAAGTACAGTAGCAATCTCCCTGGAGTCTTGAACAATATTTATTCCTCAATCAACATCATTGAAACAAATTGTTCATCATAATGTTGTTTGTGGGAGATGGCCGTACACAAATTGATTGCCACATTTCCTGTGTTATTATTGAGAGTACTCATCAAAAGCACTTTCAGATATTTGGCGGTTGTGAAAGGCATTATATAAATACAAGTTTTGCTTTTCTATTAACATTTGCTGGCCAATTTGTGGTGAATTAGGGTTCTCAGTCTCTGCCTGAGAGAAACACTATCTACTATGCCCAATTTACACCTGATTCTCACAGCCAACAGCTTTCATCACCATCTGCCTGTATTTCAACACAGGACAGAAAATGTTTTAAACTGCTCAGCAAGCCAGGTGCATCAGCCACCTTTGAACAAAACCCCTGAGTCTGTCAAAGCCATGGGCATCCTGAGAATATCAAGCATTTTTCTCTTTTTAAATTCAAGCTTCCTACATCAGCAGCATCCTGTTCAGATTTAACCACAACTGGCTTCCAAATTCAAGACTAAAAGTCAAATCTGAACATGACTCAACAATAAAATCTTTTCAACTTACATAACTGTAGGAAAATAATCATAAGACATTACAAACCAGTCTGTTCTGGCCTAAAGAGCAAGGCAAGAATGTGAAGCAGCCTTAGGGAATGCAGTCAATTATCCAACTGAAGGAAACAAAGGAAGCCAGGGTCAGGTCAGATGTAGAAAGACCAACCTGGTCGTTCAGGAGGCAAGAAAGGAAGCTTGCTGGCTGTGGCCGGTTCGATTTAAGGAATGGGACCTACCTTGGTCAGGACAAGGGGCCTCGCCTTTACCCCTCCCCTTACCCCCTTCATCACACATAGTTCCATATCCCGGCCCCTCACTTACCGGGTATCCCTGGCCTGGCATGGCTGAACGGAACATGTTTTGTTGCTGAGCTCCTGCTATCCTGCCCGGGGCCTGCCCCGTCCCTTGTGCTTGGCCAGGCCCCGGACCCGCTGCCATAGCAGCCGCCGCGCCCGGGCTCATTGTCTGGAAGCCTCGCGCCGCCATCTTCGAGAAGGAACTCTTTCGCACCGGAAAGCGATAACACTGCTTCCGGTACGCGGCCCAGCCCGCATGCGCTAATTGATCGCCCGAAACAGTGCCGCCCTCTGGGCGGATGCTGAACTCCAGAAACGGCGCCACTCTCAGGGCGGAGACTAAACTCCACAAACAGGGCCATCCTCAGGACAGAGTCGAAACTCCAGAAACGGCGTCACACATAGGGCGAATGCTGAACTCCAGAAGCAGCGCCACCGTCAGGGCGGAGACTGCAAGATAACGGAGAAGGCCCCAAGAACAGCGTGAGCTGGTGAGAGAATCAAATCCACATGGTTTTATTCGGTGTCACGTTTGTACCATGTAGACATTGGGCTAACCAAGGCTTTTCCAGTGAGTTACATATTATTACAATGTTGCCTGATCATTGAGAAATTTTGTTTATTGTTATAAAGAAAGTTCAAAGGGTAAGTGAGGAAGGGAGACAAATAGAAAATAAGTGGAGACTGACAGTCAACTCAAAAGGGAATGCAAAAGCTTTTTTGGGATATATTAGTAACAAAATTGCATGAAGAGAAGGGATAGATCAATTAGGGACCAAATGCACGACCAAGGTATCAAATGAGTACACTGCATCTACTTTTAACAATCTTAGTATCCTTACATTTGGCCCACCAAGTCCATACCAACCCACCAAAGAGCATCCCACTGAGATCCACCCTATCCCTGTAACCTGGCATCCCCCATGGCTAACCCACCTACCCTGCACACTATGGGCAATTTAGCATGGCCAATCCACCTAAACCTGTATATTTTTGGTCTGTGGGAGGAAACCCATGCAGACATGGGGAGAATGTACAAACTCCACACAGTTGCCCAAGGGTGGAATCAAACCCGGATCCCTGGCACCGTGAGGCAATGGTGCTACCACTGAGCCACTGTGCCACAAATGAGGAAGCCACTGTCATACTTAAGATACTGGATGAGCTCAAGGTTGACGAAGAGGAGAAGTCAGTTTAACTTACATGGCTAAAAAGCTTTTAGAAGTGATAATTGGGATTAACATTAATAGTCACCTGACTCATTTACGAAGGAACGCTTGCAGGGATTTGTTAAAGACAAGTCCTGTTCCACTAACCTGATAGAGTTTTTTTTAATGAAGTAACACAAATGGTTAATGGGGGTAATACGGCTGATTTGATTTAAATGGGCTTCTGAAAAGCATTTGATAAAGTGCTACATAATGGACTTGCTGGCAAAGGTGAGGCATGAAAGGGACAGTGGCAACAGGGGATATGCAGTTAACTGAGTGACAGAGAACAGTTGGGGTAAAAGGCTTTTTTTTGTAAAGGAGGAGTAGAGTTTGCCAGGAGTTGAAATGAGGGCCATTACTTTCCTTGATCTATATTAATGACCTAAACTTACTTGTCTAGGGCATTATTTCAACAGTTCCAGATGACACAACTATTGTGAACCGTGAGGAGGATGATGATAGACTTAAAGAGGACATTGTGATGTAAGCTGTGTGATTTATATAGATTTTATTATAATTTAATTTAGAACTTGGATTTTGAACTAGTGGCATGTGGGTTTTGATCTGTGTGTGAGAGACAGCTGAATGATTAACTTGCCACTATATCCAGAGCTGTCACTTTTCTTTTAAAAAAAAAACAATATGAGAGAGGGGTTTTCTGGAGAAGCAGTGGGAATGTATTTGTATTGGGAAAGCTTACTGTGTAAACAGGCTAAACATTGAAAAGTGCTAGGCTTTCAGTTAAACAAATCAGCTTTTTTTTTGCATGAGGAAACACCTATAGCTTTGAAAGCTTTTGGTTTCAGTTTGCACATGTCTTGGTGAACCTTAGATGTGTAAAATAGTCTCTCCTAAAGAAGGGCGATAGTTAGGAGTTTAGTTTGAAAACCCTAGACCAGAAGTGCTTGGTTAGAACCTTGAAGGAGTTATTTGAAGCTGAGAAAGACTAAGGTCAGTTGTATGGATACTTAAGGAAGAGGCTATCAAAACTTCTGTTTTATTGTTCAAGCCAAATCTATAGCATTATGTGGAGATAGTAAGAACTGCACATGCTTGAGTCAGAGATAATACAGTGTGGAGCTGGAGGAGCACAGCAGGCCAGGCAGCATCAG